GCTGAAGTATGGGTGTATTTATCTGTATGAGGTAAAATGCTGGATTTGGTTCCATTAAAGACAATTTTACTCATGGAAAACACATATGGAGGCCTAACAAAGAGCAGATATTTAATGTAAAGTGAAAACCACCTTAAACAGCTAGAAGCATGGAATCCTGTTTTAGTATCTGCCATACTCCTCGATTTATTTTATCAACACCTGAGAATGCTGAAGCCCAGAGGCTGCCTGGAACCAACAGTCTTGGGTTTGGTAGATGAGGAGGCTGTAACTGGAAAAACTCTTTAAACATCAGGCTATGAAACCACGATCAAGCCACAGATCAAACCAGTATACCAGAGTAAATTGACAGGAAAGGATAAATAATTCCGGAAAAATAATAAGATAAATAGAGGATAAATAATTTCCTATTAATTAATAAGAACCAGAGCATTCACCTCACGCTCAGTGGGAACACAAGCCAAGAGAGAAAGAAATCTTCCAGTGTACCGCTGAAGCGAACTGGATCTCGATATCCATCTTAAGCAAAGTCTGAACTCATATCCACGAGGGCTACTACAGCTATGTTTATCTGGATCCACGGTCTGTCTTACCAAAAATTTTAAGCTTGGTGTGCAGTTCTCCTAGGACAGCAAATGCCTGCAGCACAGAAGCAACAGGTGGGCCAGCAATGTCCTCCTCTTTCGATGGCACTATGCGTAAGTGCAGTTCTGAATGCATCGCTGACTCCAGGCTGCTGCTTTCTACAGAAAAAGAAGAACCATCTCTCTGTCAGAGCGTGGTCTGAGACACTGCATTCCTCAGGTGGCAGCTAAAGCAACATTCTACCTCTCTGCATCTCCGCAAAACACAGTCCCTTTAAAAGAGCATCCAAGGAGGATACTGAGTTCCCTGTGTTACCGATAAGGACAATGGAATGAGAATCAGTCTCTTACAATGACCCAGAATTTTCATTTCAGTTGCCTTGCAATTGAATGACACTTAGTGACAATCGCTTTCCTTCCCCTCTTCTCCCCATTTCAAGTCAAATCCAAAGGAAGAGGTTTTTTTCTTTTCCAAAGGAAAAGTTTGTGTTTCGATGAAGACAGCAACAGACAGACTCCTGAGCAGTTCTTGCAATTGGCTGCCTGCAACAAAAGCAGCAACCTGAAAACCTGTCGGAGAAGGTAAAAGTATCCTTATAACTAGCCTAGTGGGGAAATGTGTTCAGGCTGAATGAATGTGTCAGAAAACTCTTCCAGCTACTACGCCAAATCAGCCATTAGTAATAAGCAACCTGAAAGTTCGGCCCTGCTGATTTCCTCAGGAGCAGCAGCTTTGCAGAAGAGCACCCCTTTCCTGATATTCCATGAGACTAAAAAAGTACTCAGAGGCTGGTCGCTGTTTTAATCTCTGCTTCAACATTTTCTAACAAATATGGCAGATGAGGCAGATGAACCTTCAAAACCCTGTTTAAAACCTACTGACTACACCGAATTGCTTGTGGTAGCACCTAAATACTCCAGGAATAGAGCAGCAGAAAGAGCTCCTTTAAACCAACCTTAGCTCAACAGTATTACTGTATTTCCCATCTTGTAGGGACTGGAAACCAGGCAGTTCAACCAGTGAAGCAAAAACAGTGAAACAAACGAGAACTGGGAGTACCTTTTGAAGAAGGAAGCTTCCATACAGCCAGTTTCTGCCATTCCTCTCCTAGATGATAGAGGATGTTCTGTGTCTGCACTGTGAGCTCTGTGCCTAGTGCTTTCAGGATCTTCAGCTCAAAGCCCTTGCGGGATTCCAGCATTTTCAGGCTGCTTCGTGCCTGGTGGTAAAGACCGAACACAAAACGTGGGTAAGTGTTGCCCTTGCTAATGAAAAGCGTCTTGTGAACTTTATTGAAAGTGTATACAAACAATATCGTCACGTACTTAACAGATCATTATTACCTTTTCCAGTTGTTGAGCTGCTGCAACGTACTTCTTTTCCAGCAAGGCAGTGTTGTACTCTTTAATAGCGGTATCAAACTGCAAGAAAGAGATTCCTATGTCACTGTGTATCTACTAGACAACGATTGTTTAAACAACATGGCTAGAGACAGGGGAGCCATAGACAGTTATAATGCCACAGACTGAGCACCAGAGAGGATGACTACTGACTGCTTCAAGATTTTTAAGCCGCTCCCTCCCCTCACCTCCTGTAGCTTTTTCAGAATACTCAGAACCAGCGTGTCTCGCTCCAACTGCTGCTTCAGTTCAGTGAACTCAGCAACAGCGACGTTTAGATCTCGCTGAACCTAAAAGAACAAAATTTCAGTTCATTTACAGCAAGCAAATGTTATTGGATACCTGTCCTTTAAATCACCTATTGTTATCACTTTTAAAAGTACTTCTGTTACTAGAACAATTTGTTGAGAAGGAAAAAGGCTCCATCCATTTTACTCCTTGCTAGGAAAGTCCTTATAAGCACTGGAAACACTTATAAATTGGTTTCTCTTTTAGTACGTTACAGGTTTTTTAAAGGCACTGTAAGGAAATTTAAGTCTTAAAAGGCAGTCAAAAGGACTTCAGTGTTCCTTTAACACAGCCTTTTAAAATGCAACAATGCTTGAACTAAGCCAAAAGTTAATTCTCATAATTCACACCACTATAGACCCCCACATGCTGGAAAATCAAAGCAGCAAACGGAGAGCGGCTCTGCACTGGGCCTGCAGGAGCTGCTCGTGTTCTCCTTGAAGACTTCAGTGAACGTGCACAGGTATGGTTTTGGTTGCCGTTCTGCCCCAAATCACGGTGGGACCGATGCTCAGCCAGTCCAGTCCCGTGTCACACCCTCCTCTGCTCATTTCTGACGGAAAGCCGTGTGCCACGCCTTCCCACCTGCGCAACGGAGCGCAAACCACGAGGCAGCCCTTAATGACAGCTCTTCACGACGCAACACGCGCCTCTGCAGCGTGCGTCACCTAAAGGCGCTTTTTTGGGGTGATACCATACAGGGTTCTGGGTCAGGAGGCCTCCTCCCCGAATCCCCACGCGACACACCGACACAGGGGGGTGGCTACAGGTTTGGGACGGAAGCGAGCGGCATGCGGGGCGCTGTCACCTCGTTTTCTATCCCCGCTTTCAGCAGGTCGATGTTGCTGGAGAGCCCGTCCACCTGCAGCACCAAGTCCTCGGCGCTCTGCATGCTGGGCAGGAACTCGTTGTACTTCTTGTTGATCATGTTGCACACCTCTCCCTGAGGAAGAGCGATCGTCGCGGCCACCACCGTGGCG